AGGGCTGAGAACTTGGCCCAGGCTACCTGCAAAAATAAGTAGGGCTTTCCTTCTTCCCTAACCTGTGGTCTGTATGCTGGATTCATGCCCTCCCCCGAGTTCTGGCCAGGGGACTTCTTGATTGGTTCAGACTGTTACAGAGTTCAGCTGGAGGTTTCCTTCTCCCTGTGGACTTTTCTGAATGCCTCTGGCAGCCCTTCTCAAGGACCCCTGTGAGGTGAGGCAGAAATGGCTTGATAGGGGACCCAGGGAGCCCACAGGGGTTTTCCTGCTGCCTCCTCTACCCTTGAATTTCACTCAGCCTTCTAAATGGACTCAGCTCCAGGTAAGGTCAGAATCTTCTCACGTAATCTAGACCTTTAGGTTCCCCAGTCGGGGTGTATATTCAGGGGTGAACCTTTCTCACTTCCACAGTTTGGGCACTCACAGTATTTGGGGTGTCTCCCAGGGCCTGTTGGTACAATCACTTCCTTCAGAGGGTATGTGGGTTCTCTTGGCTTTCCTAATGTATTCCTGCAGTTGTTCTGGTGCAGAAGTTCATGATGCGAGCCACTCTTCCGTCTGTCCCCATTCCTTTTATTTCCAAACCACATTTGAATCCAGCTTTTCATTTGTACTGAGTGAAGGGGTAATTAAATCTGTAGACACTATGATCTCTAATCTTTTTTTAATTTTTTTTGAGATGGAGTTTCACTCTTGTCGCCCAGGCTGGGAGTACAATGGTATGGCCTCATCTCACTGCAACCTCTGCCTCCTGGGTTCAAGTGATTCTCCTGCCTCAACCTCCCAAGTAGGTGGGATTACAGGTGCCCACCATCACGCTTAGCTAAGTTTTGTATTTTTAGTAGAGACAAAGTTTCACCATGTTGGCCAGGCTAGTCTCAAACTCCTGACTTCAGGCAATCCACCTGCCTTGGCCTCCCAAAGTGCTGGGATTACAGGTGTGAGCCACTGCACCCAGCCTCTAATCATTTTTTAAAAAAGCAAATCCTCTTATTTGCTTTCAGATTTTCCTTTATGCAAGGCAAATTGCAATCTATGGACAAAATTCAGTTTCTTCTTTTAGATTCTCTAGCCTTATTGGCAAATAATTAGATGAAAAGCGAAGGAGGAGAAAATATAAATCATAATGAAGTAGTGATTGGATAATGTTCCTCAACAATATGATGAATTATCCCCCTCCCTACCCCATTTAGTTAGACACCAGATGAAAATGGAAAAAGATTTCCTCACATTTTTTTTTTAATTAATGATCAAATAAAGAGACTACCTGCCCCCTCAGTGCAAGGGCTCAGAGCTGTGTGTGTTTGCAGAATAAAAAAAGTAAGTAAGCGGCTGGGCGCGGTGGCTCAAGCCTGTAATCCCAGCACTTTGGGAGGCCGAGGCGGGTGGATCACGAGGTCAAGAGATCGAGACCATCCTGGTCAACATGGTGAAACCCCGTCTCTACTAAAAATATAAAAAATCAGCTGGGCATGGTGGCGCGTGCCTGTAGTCCCAGCTACTCAGGAGGCTGAGGCAGGAGAATTGCCTGAACCCAGGAGGCGGAGGTTGCGGTGAGCCGAGGTTGTGCCATTGCACTCCAGCCTGGGTAACAAGAGCGAAACTCCGTCTCAAAAAAAAAAAGTAAGTAAGCAACCCAATATATGTTTTTTTTTTTCATTCGCTATGTTCTTTATGAATAATAATTTTTTTTGTTTGTTTTTCTTTGTTTTTTTTTTGAGACAGAGTTTCGCTCTTGTTACCCAGGCTGGAGTGCAATGGCACGACCTCGGCTCACCGCAACCTCCGCCTCCTGGGTTCAGGCAATTCTCCTGTCTCAGCCTCCCGAGTAACTAGGACTACAGGCACGTGCCACCATGCGCAGCTGATTTTTTATATTTTTAGTAGAGACGGGGTTTCACCATGTTGACCAGGATGGTCTCGATCTCTTGACCTCGTGATCCACCCGCCTCGGCCTCCCAAAGTGCTGGGATTACAGGCTTGAGCCACCGCGCCCGGCCCTTGAATAATAATTTTTTTGGTAGTCAGATATCAGATAAATGGACTATTTTGGAAGTTCAGGGAACTTAATGTGGAAATGCATTGCATAAGTAATTATAATGTTTTGTGTCTACGTTGAAGCCTGTACTATAACTTTATAAATTAGGAAAATGTTATAATACCTTGGGCGTTTAGTCTTATCATCTGTCTTTCCTGTTGACTTACTGGGAAAAAGCCATTTGTCATCTCTTAGTCCAAGACAATGAAGAATGTTTTTTTAGTCTGTCACTAGGTGGCAGCAAATGTCAAAATTTTATACTTACAAAATACCTGTATCTAAGATAACCTATTTTTTCCTTTACATTAGGAACCTAATTGAAATTACTGCATTGATAAAGTATATAAGATGTAGTACTGTAGGCATCTTAGAATATTAAACTATTCCAATTGGAACATGAGTAGATATTGGAACCATTTTACAGGAATGAAAATAAAACTTTTAAATTGATAACTTCAGTATAAGTAGTTATATAACTTTTAATGATATATGTCAGTATTACTTTTCTAGTTTTAAAGATAACACCAAAGTTTTCCATTTCAACTGTAGGGACAAAGAAATAATCACATTTTTAGCAGTGGTGGACATGTTGAGGATGCTTATTGAAAGGAAAGAACTGCAGCTGGAAGAGCTTTATATTCCATACTTGGGTGGCAATATATAACATGGCACTTTGTGTAAACAAGCATCACCAGATGTTTATTGATGAAATTGAAGCAGCTACATTGCCTGGGGTATATTCCCTGGGGTTTGTTGTCATGCACCAGGAAAATTTAGGTCATGGACACACACAAAGAGTTTAAGAGCAAAGGTTAAATAGAGAGAAGAGAAAGAGAAACAGTTTCCTCTATAGAGGAAGGGGTCTCTGAGAGGAAAGGACTGGCTGGTGACAAATGTGCCGAGTTTTATAGTCCAGTTTGGGGAAGTGGTGTGTGATTTACACACTGGTTTGATCAGGCATGATTTTTACAAAGTGGCACAGGGAAGTCTGGTCGCCACACCCTAATCTTATACAAATGGGCTTTCCATTTGATTATGGCCATCTTGTCTGCTCCTTATAGCACACGTGGCTGTCAGAGAAGGGAAGATGGAGCCGCCATCTTGAAAATGTTTAGTCCTTAGTTCCTGATTTGGGGCTACTTTTCATTAAAAAGAAAAGCCTTACCAAGGACTCCCATACTCTTGCTATATGCCTAAATGATTTTTGCTTAACTTGTATGTCAAAATGATTAAAATAAAGGATAAGAGAGCTTGGGTAGGAGGTCACTTAGCAGGTCAGATTTAGGAAGAAATAAGGATTTGTATTTGTTTATATGATCATACAAAATTCAATTATTAATATCCTTTAACATAAGAATTTAAAAATTGTGAAGAAATACCAATGTACATTCTACACATTTTTACTGAATACATACTGTGGAACAGACATTGTGCTAGGCAGTGGGTATGTAGTAGTGAATAAGACAGTGTAAACCTTGCCTGTATTATCAGATTGTTAATACTAAATCTAAAGTAATAAGTTATTGCATCTATGAGAACTAATCAAGAATCTGAAAATATACAAATTAATTTCAGTATTAAAAATTTTGCGTGATAAAATGTTAAAATATCACGTTTACAATTTTAATCATGTGATTAAGTTACATTTAGGCTATATCCTAAATTGATACACAAAGATTCCTTCTTTGATCTACTATATTAAATCTTATTTTAAATTTTTTATTAGAACTTGTTCTTTTGAGTTGTATGGTACTTGTTTTATTTGGTGTTTGATCTCTTTCCACACAGTGATTTATAATATTTTAGAGAACTTTACATGTTTTTATTATAGAGCAAGTAGGGATTTCTGTTTGAGATTCTACTGTGTGTTTTCTTAGGCAGAAAATAAATTATAATGTTTAGGCAGGATAGGTATCTGAAGTCCTAGATGAGTTTCACATGTCATTTATTCACATGCATATTTAAGGTGCTGCAGGTGCTGGAAAATCAGTGATAAATAGCTACAGTCCCTGCTCTTAAGGAGTTGTCTTGGTAGAGAGAGACATTAATCAGATATTGAGCAGTATATAATTACATAAGGAGGTAAGGAAAGGAGCATGGTTCTATGATAACATATATCAAAGGAACCTGATGTAGATCAGTGTATCAGAGAAGGCTTCCTTGAAGTCATACATGATGTGAAAGATTTAACTCTGCAAAGGTTGGTGGGGGTAAGTGGGTGCCAAAACAGATGTGAGTTTTGGAAAGATATCTCTAGCATTAGTGTAGACACACTGAATTCAAGGAGGTGAATTAGAAGCCTATTCTACTTATCCAGGAGAAATTACATTTGAGTGGTGGCAGTAAAGAGAAATGGACGGTAATTAGAGATATTAAAAATTTAGGTGGTTAAAAAAAAACATGCTGATTAATCAATAGGCATGAAGGGCTTGGGAATGGGGAGGTACGAAAGATGAGGCTTTGTTTTTTGAGTTGCACAAAGCAGCAACGTTCACCAACAAACACAGAAAAGAAACCATATGTGGTTTTAGACTTGTTGAGTTTGAGGATGTTTCCGTTCAATGGCAAACAGAGAAGTAGTAAGGATACATGGGTCTGGAACTTCAAGGAGCTTGGGCCAAAGACGTAAATTAGGATTCATTAGATTGTCTATGGTTATTGGGGTTGCGTAGAAAGAGAGTGAAAAAAACAAGAGAAGGCAGCTTAAGCTGAGTCTTGAGGGACTCCTAACTCTGCTGTCAGAGGAGCCTGCAAAAGGGACCAAAAAGGAGATGCTATAAAGGTGGGGAAAATGTCAGTAGCGGACGGTGTTGCAAAGATCAAGGGAAGAGAGTGTTTAAGCCGGAGTGTTTAATGCTGAGAGATTAAAATATAAATCGGCTAGAAAAACATTGAAAATTCTAAGCAAATGCATTTTCTACATTAGCAATTACAAAATGTGCATTTTCCTTTTATTTAGGCACATCTACTATGCTTCTTACTAGAATAAACTGTGCAGATTGGCCTGATGTATGTACTAAGCAAAATGTTACTGAATTTCCTTTTGTAAAGATGTACAAGAAAGGCAAGAACCCAGTATCTTACACTGGAATGCTAGGAACTGAAGATCTCCTAAAATTTATCCAACTGTAAGTATTCAGCTTCATTACAAGATCTCTAAATGTTAAGGTCTGTGAAAGTTCTAATTCTCAGACTTTGCTAACATTCTTTAAATAGGTTAAGGAGGATACTAGAATTGAGATCATAAAATAAATATTCATGAGAGTCTATGTACATTTTGTCACTTTTGGGGAGATAGTAATTTTGTTTAATGAGTCTGATTTTCTTTAAGAATAATATCTAATTTTCTGTATTTATCCTATGTAATATATTATTTGCTATGTTTAGTGTATTTTTTTTACAAACTGAAAATACCTTTAAAAATTAATTTTTAATATAGTTATATATTCATTCAGCAATAGGATTTCATATCCAGTGAATATAACATCGATCCAAGAAGCAGAGGAATATTTAAGTGGGGAATTATATAAAGACCTGATCTCCTATTCTAGTATGTCAGTATTGGGACTATTTAGTCCAAACATGACAACAGGTAAGTATAGCTGAGCTTTTGAATTATACAGTATCATTGCTTGCTAGTTTTATTTTTTAAGAATATCTTTTTAAGTTATACAGAATTTCAAAATTACAGAGATGTTTGAAGAAAAATAAAATGCTGTAAGCTAATTTTTCAGAGACACATAGTGTTAAATTTTGACATAATTTCTTCCATCTTTTTTCTGTATACCTACACATTGCATATTTATGTAGGTTTTAATATAATTGGGCTAAAGCTGTATGTCTAGATTAGAATCTTGTTTTTTGTTTTTGTTTGTTTTTGAGACAGTCTCGCTCTGTTGCTGGGCTGGAGTGCAGCGGCGAGATCTCTGTTCACTGCAACCTCTGTCTTCTGGGTTCAAGTGATTCTCCTGCCCCAGCCTCCTGAGTAGCTAGGACTACAGGTGGCGCCGCCACACCCAGCTAATTTTTATATTTTTAGTAGAGATGGGGTTTCATCATGTTGGCCAGGATGGTTTCAATCTCTTGATCTTGTGATCCACCCGCCTCAGCCTCCCAAAGTGCTGGGATTACAGGTGTGAGCCACTGCACCCAGCTAGAATCTTGTTTTTATTTAACGTTACATTGATATATAGATATTCTTCATGAACATTATGGCTGCATAATATTTGGTGAATATATATACCAAACTGTATTTGAATTTGTTTATTTTGTTTTGTTTTGTTTGTTTGTTTGTTTTTGGCCGGAGTGCAGTGGGATGATCTTGGCTCACTGCAGCCTCCACTTCCTGGGCTCAAGCAATCCTCCCACTTCAACCTTCTGAGTAGCTGGGACCACAGACATGTGTCACCATGCCTGGCTAATTTTTTGTATTTTTATAGAGACAGAATTTCACCATGTTTCCCAGTCTGGCCTTGAACTTCTGGGCTCAAGCAATCCACCCACCTTGGCCTGCCAAAGTGTTGGGATTACAGATGTGAGTCACTGCACCTGGCCTTATTTGACTATTTACAAACAATATTTATACTGTTTTCTTTTTTTTTCCTTGCTGTATGTGAAGAACATTTTTGAGTTTTTGTATTGATTTTAGACTATATAATGAATTGGATTCCCAATAGAATAACTTATGTCTTCTGTAAATTGTGGGTTATATACATTACTCGCTGATTTTTTTTTTTTGAGACAGGGTCTCGCCCTCCTGCCCAGGTTGGAGTGCAGCGGCACAATCACAGCTCACTGCAACCATAACCTCCTGGGCTTGAGTGATCCTCCCACTTCAGCCTTCTGAGTAGCTAGGATTATAGACATATGCCACCATGCCCACTAATTTTTAAATTTCTTGTAGAGACGAGATCTCCCTATGTTGCCCTGGCTGGTCTCAAACTCCTGGGCTCAAGTAGTCTTCCTGCCTTGGCCTCCCAAAATACTGGTATTATGGGCATGAGCCACTCTGCTTGCCCACTCATTTTTTAAAATGGGGTTTTACTGTTTGTCTAATGAATTGTTGTGTGATCTTTGTATATTAAGGAGATTAAGCTTTTGTCATTTTGTTCCAGTTATTTTCCCTCAGTTTGTTATTTGCTCGTTAGCTTTGTTGAATAATTTTTATATAACAGTTTAACTTTTTTTAATCTATTGATTTTAAGACTTCTTCCATTGCTTTTAGCTATTAAAACATATCATTTTATCAGCTAATATTCACCTGTATTTTCTCTTTTTAATTTGTAGTATTTTCTTAATTTATCTTGCTTTGTATATTTGTTTTTAAAAATTTTTTGATAAACTACACATAATGTAAAATTTACCATCTTACACGTTTTAAAGTGTATATTTTACAAGTGTTAAGTATATTCACATTGTTGTACAACTAATCTGCGGAACATTTTCATCTTGCAAAACTGAAACTCTGTACCCATTAAACAACAGTTTTTCATTTCATCCTCCTCCCAGGCCCTGGTAACCACTGTTTTACTTTCTGTTTATATGAGTCTGACTACTCTATGTACCTCATACAGATGGAATCATACAATATTTGTCTTTTTCTGACTGGCTTATTTCACTTTCCATAATGTCTTCAGAGTTCATCTGTATTGTAGTATGTGTCAGAATTTCCTTCCAATTTTAAGCCAAATAGTATTCCATTGTATGTATATCATATTTTATTTACCCGTTTATCCGTTAATGAATGTTTGGGTTACTTCTACCTCTTGGCTGTTATGAATAATGCTCTTGTGAACATGGGTATGGAAATATCTCTGGGACTCTGCTTTCAATTATTTAGGATATATACTGAGAAGTGCAATTGCTAGGTCATATGGTAATTCTGTTTTTAATTTTCGAGGAACCGCAGTACTATTTTCCACACTGGCTGCATCATTTTACATTCCTACCAACATTGTATCAGGGTTCCAATTACTTTAACATCCTTGCCAGTACTCATTATTTTGTTTTATTTTTTATGATAGCCATCCGAATGGGCATGAGGTGATATCTCACTGTGACTTTGATTTGCATTTCCCAAATTAATAGTGATGTTGAGCATCTTTTCATTATGCTTGTTGGTCATTTGTATATGTTCTTTGGAGAAATGTTTATGTAACTCTTTTGCCCATTTTTAAATTAGGTTATTTATATTTTTTGTTGTTTAGTTACAGAAATTCTTTTTTTTTTTTTTTTTTTTTTT